AATCAATAAAAACTTTTCAACACTTTACACAACCATTCCTCACGATAAAATAAAGTCCAGATTTTTGTCATCATTGACAGCTGCTTTTTCAATAAAAATACAACTCGTAAATTTACTTACCTTGTCACTGGTCATTTGCAACATTATTTTGTTTAAAAAACATTTTGATTGTATACACAAGTACTCTGAAGTTGACATTTAAAAGATGCTTGAGTCTCTAATTAACAAGATCTATGTAGTTTTTGGAGACCAAGTCCTCCAACAATCTGTCGGCATTCCCATTGGTACCAATTGCGCCCCGTTATTAACAGAACTATTTTGTACACATATGAAGCAGAATTTATTCATAATCTTATACATGAGAAGAAAACACTTGCTGAGCCCTTCAACTCGTGATTTAAATATATATTATCAATTAAGAATTTGTTACCTCCATTCATATGTCGACTCGATTTATTCCAGTGAGCTTGAAATAAAAGATATGACAGAATCTGACACACGTGTTTCATATTTGGATATATTACTAGAAAAAAGACAACTAAGCTTTATGATAAACATGATGACTTCAACTTTCCAATCGTCAACTTCCCTTACTTATGTAGCAATATACCCTCATCACCAAGGTTTTCTTCTATCAGTTGATTCGATACGCAATAGCATTATCTACGCACAAACAACATTTTCTTAAACGAGTCAAGCTAATGACAAACAAGTTCATGAAACAAGAATATCAACTGTCTCGTTAAAAGTCATCATTTTGCAAGTTCTATGGTCGATACAATGACCTTGTCAGCAAATACAGTTTATCATTAAGTCAAATGCTGACTGACGTTTTTTATATACTAATTGTTAGGTCATTTTCTACAAACTGAATTATCTATGGTTTTTCCTTTTCTCCCGATCATAACAAGGAGCATACGTCTGGTGTGACCAGTCGGCAAAGGATGCACACTCCTCCATGGCACCTGATCCCACCTCTGATGTTTTAAAGGTCCTTGTTTGCTCTGCTCTTGTTTTGTATTGTTTGATTGGACTTTTGAGCTTTAATACTATTTCTAATCTCCATATTTAATCCATATGTATATATTCCTATGTCACACATTCATTATATATTGTATACGCTTATGTCTTCAGCCAGGAGCAGAAATTGCACATTCTTGATTCTTCGCTACATTTTAATGTCGGTATATCATTACACACTATTTGTTATTTTTATCTATTTTAAAAGAACATTTTAAAAAAGAGGGTTTTTTTAAAAATTTTTATGTCAAACTTTGACCAGGTGTTTTAGCCCCTACCTGAGGGTTAGGGCTATGTTTTAAATAACTTAAAGCTATTGACAATATGCTAATTAAGACAGTTGAGTCCTTACAGAGCTTTGCTCATCGATATCATTTTTGAAATAGCGTATTTTTTAAACTTATACCTTATCGTCCCAATTTTGTTTCCCATATGTTAGGATATTGTCTTTATAATGGCTGCTTCTACGACTTTGGAGAAGGCGTTCCTGCATTATTAATTGCTCAAATGTTCTTGTTCATGACACATTGTAGACAGCAGTATATTTTGTAAATACTTTTTTCGATGAAGCTAACAACTGGTGGAAAATTGTCATTTTCCTCATAATGCTGAGATGTTTCTATTTATGGGTGTTTGGTACTATAAATAGAAAAGGGAACCCCCTTCAGATAGTGTGTATTTCAGCAAATGGTTTCTAGTACTTGTCAGTCATGCTATGTTTATAAGAGTTAGTCTGCATTTTTTCCATCCGACATTATCTGAAAAAGTGCAAGAATCTACATTTTCTCGATTATTCGAGGAATCTATTTTTAGACCATTATTGCTATAAAAAGAAACAAGAGTCGATCCTCAATATTTTATCAATTATTGTACAAACACTTGTTCTTTTTGAAGGCATATTAAAAAAGCTTTATATTTGTTAACACTTTTTGTATAAAGCTTCTAATTAGCATAAAACTGTCATTTTTCCTAATATCCAGAGACATATCTATATTTAGGTGCTTGATACTATAAATAGAAATAGGAATACTCCTCAACCATTGTCCACTCCAGCTAGTTGTGTCCAGCTGCTACCATTAATATCTTAAATTTTACAATATACGTCCTAATTATCCAGCAATGACATCTACAACTTTGGCAAAATTTAATTTTTTACATTTTTCTAAAATCTATCTATTTATAGATACATGGTACTAAAAATAGGATTAAAAGCCCACCGATATTTATTCATGAGATGACACTTCGAATACTCAAGTATTAAAACACACATATGTTTTGGAAATCTTCCACGGACAATTTTACTTACATAGCCTTAAAGATCTTAAAAAATACTAATTTTCCCATATTTCAAATTTTCAGAAACCATGTCAGTTTGCATGGCCTTTTTCTTAGAGTGGGAATATTTTTAGAATAAATGATTATATGCCCTGTGTACCTTAAGAGTTCATCTTATTATATGATCTAATGATTTTTGTTAGAGTGTATTAGATATCGACAAATATTCGTTTACATTTCCTCAATTTTCATGTTTTCACTTGGTCAAAAAGGACCAAAAATGGCCAAATTCAATGGATCCGTTTCCATGGCAACCGGATGTACGTGTGGAACTCCCGACACCATATTTGCTAGTTTTGTACCTGTGGTGCAAATTTCATCAAAATCCGAGACATGTCGTTTCCAAGCCCTATAGTAAATTTTTTGGTGCTTACAGAGAATGCATGTTAAAATTTAAAGGAACTAATGTTAATACTTATTGTATTATTTCAAATACAAACGTACAAATTTCTTAGTTTGATCACTATGGCTAGAGGCATCTATACAACTTCATTCGATATTTTTCTCATGTAAAATAGCGCAAGAAGTATCATTCGGAAAACGCGCCAGTCAATGATCCACCATCAGATTGTTCAAGTGTCCGATTTAAATGTTTCCTCCCCTTGATTTTAATAAACGAAACTCAGAAAAGGTTCGGTACGACTTTCCGGATTTAGGGTATCTACAGGCATTTAAAAATCTTCATTTGTTTCAAATCCATGCTGATTTACGTGATATTTTAACGTGATTTTAATTAGAAATATCCGCTTGTGTTTAACTATTACCAAAAAAGAACAATTTGGGTATATATTCTAAAGTAGAATGACACTGAAAAAGGGCCCATTAAGCATAGCTTAAGTGCACTTGTCCTTTGCTTAAAATGAGTTAAATATATGAATGTAATAAATCATGAAAAATGTGACAAAAGGTGGACAACTCTTGAAATGTGCACTTAACAATTTTGGATATTTCTCAGTTTAAACAGAAAGAAAGCTTCAAAATTACCCATTAAAGGTGATATTTTCTTTAGGAAAGTCCATAGCCGAAAGTGATATAGAAATAAGTGCATATTTTGTTGCTCCTTTCGATTATATCTAGCTGCAGCACTTTGGGAATTTTTTTCACTACTTTCCAGCATTGGTCAATCAACGACCTTTCATCCCCCAATACTACACATATTCTATAACCAATTTGTATATTTTATCCACCTCTAAACCCTTTATAGTCGTCTCTACAGACCAATAAATTCGCTTGGCCATTTTATGGCATAAAATTCAAAACATTACAGCTGTTTTTTAATGCTAGTTTCTTAGCCAGTCAGAATGTTCTGTTCATATTGTACTACCCAATCGACAGGCATTGACATTGTTTAAATCCAAAGAACTATTTCCTGTTGCATGTACAAAACTCAATAGCATAAGAAAATTTAGTATGCAAGAAAGGTTGTATGAAATACAAATGTAGTACAAAATATAGAATATTAAGCTTTTTAGAAGCAAGTTTTTGTGGCATTGTAAACAAAGATTCCTGGTATAGAAATCAACATACATTTTTGATATATCCATAAAAACATAAAGTCAAAATAAAATTGCAATTCGATTCTGATCTTCAATCGATGACATACATTTCATTAAATTACGCATAATCATTAGACTCATATATTGACATTTAACTCAACTAATTCAGCCATGAAATAAGTGTAGCAATCAACTAGAAAAGCAAACATTTAAATACCAGCAATATATAAATTAAAGCAACTCAGCATTAATGTTCAGAAAGAATCAACGAAAGATATCTTCCAATATCGAATAAACATTGTATTTCATATGCCCAGATATATTAGGGGGAAAACGAAGTTACATTTGCTATATCCAGGATGTAATTTAAGCTCATTTGATGTAAAGCACCCTCACTACCTGGTTGCCTATAATCTAGGAGTAAAGGTAAAATTAAATCCCTTCAACGGTAACTAGTAACGTCTCTATAGGAGTAAAAAAATTCTTGCACGTGATGTGAAACAGCACTCAGTCAATCGGCCATCCTTTTCTCTGTTGGTCTTTATCTTATAAACTTGATATTATATATTCTTCCTACTCGACTTTAGAGATGCAAACATTGAGAAAGGGTGACGTCCTTTTTGATTTGTGATATAAATTATTTAATTATTATCTTACATCTGCTATTACCTGAAGATCCTGGGTGGTCTCAAAATCTTTGGTTTTAGCACTTTACACAATACAGGCATGTATTTCCAGTCTGGCTGATATAGTTGTGATTTTATACTACACGACTGTTTATTTGCATGCCTTGCGAACCCCATTTTTTAAAACAGTTTGCAAACAGATTACCCGTAAATGGACCCGATTTGCTCTGACATAGCTTGAAAATACGTTCTAAACAACCCAAATTATCAAATACATGTACGATCAAATTCGCATATTAACTGCGTTCATCAGTATATATCAGTGTTATACACTGATATATACTACATATTTTTTTCATAGCGAGCTGATGCAGCTTTCATTTGAACATTTACATTACTTAATGAAAAGACATAAAAGGTTATTATGGTTGTAATTTTTATTGGACACTTTCAGATAAATACAAACATGTATTTAAAAATTTAAAATGTTATTTTCTTTAATGATAATTTAAATTTTGTTCCATTTGTTGTTATGTCACCTTCTGGAAAAAGATGCAAGATATTGGCATGGAGATCCGTCCGCTTTGTGAACAATCTCCTGTGTACAGTTCTTTTCTTTAACAACACAACCCTCTGGTACTGTGTAGTGCATGAGCATTCTATATCCAATATAATAATAAAAACAAGAATGCTGTGTCAGTTACCTATGTGTGATGCCAATGAAAAAATAAGTTAATATCAAATTACACTTGCCAAAATTGCTAACGCACCACTTGTAATATTCGATTCTTAATTAAACACTTGTCTAATCAACACAAGTATGTCTTATTTGCCATCTTTCTCAATATAGTGGTGTTGACAAAAGTCTTGGTGTCATGACAAGACGTTCAAATGATTTTCTTTCCCCAAAACCAATTTCCTGATGTGCACTGCGCACCATCTTTGCCCAGATATGAAGTCAGTTACCCTTTGATTAACATCGCATTTTTTTATCAGCTTAACCATAGGAATGCCTCATTTGTTTCGATATAAGATAGATATATATTTTATACACCATAAAGAAGTTTTAAAAAATGAAAAATTACTTTTCTTAGGTCATGCGTTGGCAATGTTGTCAAGTGTATGTAGAATGTAAGCGTGAAGAAGATGAAGTTTAAATGATAAGGTAAAATGGAGGAATAATGTAATCGTGAAGAAGATAAAGTTTAAATGATCAGGTAAAATGGAGCAGTAATGTAATCGTGAAGAAGATGAAGTTTAAATGATAAGGTAAAATGGAGCAATAATGTAATCGATGTCATACGAGCAACAGTAGAGTACAAGATCTGCTCCACAGTGACATCTCAAACATCTTGTCATATCTGTGTGTGCTTCTCCTGGTGCCAATATCACACCAGATGAATTGCAGTGGGTAGGAGGTGGATCTAATTCAAGAAAAAAATGAAATACTTAGAATTTTAGAAATGTCAAATGGCTTTTGTGCTACCCATGACTCATCTCCGAGCCAATCAGAATATTTGCAGGTAGTAATTTATCGATAGGTATTGCATTGTTTCATCAAAGGATCAGTTATGTTACATATATTATCTTCAGCATTAGAGAAATCACCAGAGACAACACATATTAACGAGTATAAGCAAGTAATAAGCATCTAAGTAAGCATAGCTAGAAAACATCTCAAGTAAAGAAAACAATAAATAATTAAACTTCTCTAAACAGGTCGTCTGTTGTAAAAGACTAAATACACGGATAAGAGGGGTTGCAGAATTTCTGAGGTTTGCCAAGTGGACTTTTGCGAGAAACGCTGACTTTTACAGTCGACGGCTTACTTTGACATTTAAACCTGCTTTTTGTACGGTGATACGGAAATGATAATAGACAAGGAAACCATTATAGTGGTTATAGGTGTGGTGTTAGGGTACTAACATGATGAACTGGTATGCAATCAATGCAAGAGGTGGTACGAGGCAGAATTACGTAACTTAAATAACCTTACTCGTGAGGGATAGTGTTTCTTTTCAATCACATTTTCTGAAGAAATGAAATAAGGAACACAATACATTCCGAAAGGAAAAGCAACAGTATGGGAAGAGAGGGGAATGAGGGTAGGGTGGATGCCGTTCTATTCCTAAACAACGTAATATGTGCTTTGAAATGACCCTTTATTATCGTTTAATTAACTCTTAAGCTTAATATTTATATCGCAAAAGAGCTTCCGTATATTATCCTAGTTTAAAAGTAAGTCGTCGATTGTAAAAGTCAGAATCTATTCATATACATGTAGTTATGAGTACAAATTCCTGAATCCATTACTTGTTGTCTAAATATCTTTATAAGCTTAAGAAAAATTATATAAAGGTTTAAATATGATCAGATATACTTTATTTCCCAACATTTTCCAAGCATTGTTATGTTTAACATTCACACGTTTCAGATATTTTTTTTTTAATTTTAACCTTTCCTCTTTTTACCTGTAGATCCTGGTGGAGGAGGTGTTGGAGAACGAGAATAGAAACACTGAGCTGCACAGTAACCCAGAAGGACCAGAAACCATAACAGAGACACGAGAATGGACTTCATATTGTAGACGAATAATGTCAAGTTTTAAACAGTCCTTAAGTACTTATTTATTCTTTCTTATCTTTATCATACTTACTGATATAGAACTCCGTTTACCTGGTGCACCTATATGTCAAAACCTAGACCGATTTAACCAAAACTGTATTGGGAAATATGTATAATCTCATGGGATTATAATCGCGAATATTCCTGCAAGAGAAAATTAATCGACCTGACCTAACCCCTAGGTAACATTTTAAATATCATGATTACTACTTATTATATATAAAATATGTAAAACTATTCATTCGTTTTTTTAATTATTTTTTTTTGTAAAGAGTCTAAGCAAATAATACAGAAGATAAAGACTGTGAAAAAAATATCACCTCTAGAAATTTTCACAATAGCTCTATTTCAAAAGGAATCCTTAGGACATAGTTCAATAGGATATATAGATAACAGACTAATGCAGCTTATGGCATAGGACAAAAATTCTTAATAAAAAGGAGGAAAGAGGAAATCGTACTGATGTACGTATATATTCCAGTCGCTCATTTGCAGGAGTTGCATGCGTGTCTCACATGAACACTTTTTTTAAACACTTGTTCAAAAAAAAAGATGTATACATCAGGAATAGGAAACTATATTTTTTGTCAGACATCTTTTCGAGCTTCTACAATTCTCTATATATTTTTATCTCGGAAAGTCTTGACTAATTCAAATCTTAGAAAACATTGTTTATCTTTTTCTCTTAGATTTAAATATGGTACATAATATGATATATCATGGTTATTCCTCTATAGTATGAAAACTTTATTTTCAATCTATCCAGTGGTTAGGAAAATCGCAAAGCCATTGAAGAAAATGAAAGAAAATGAATAGATCTGATACATATATATGCCCTTTTTTTAAAACTAGTATAAAAAGAGTCGTTTTGAGAAAAAGAAACAAACTTAGAGAAACAGCGAAGTGTGCAATGCTGATAGAATAGTGTGTTTCAACTTAAACACACTAAGAATAAACATTGATTCAGGGTATTCAAGATTTAAGAAGTTCACATATTACAAATTGAGCATTTTTATTTAAGAAGAAATTTATCCTACTACCGGCGATTCGCTATTATCGTCTTTTACTGAAATTACAATTGACAAACAGTTGGTATTTGTATGACTTCTGGCTATGAAAAAAAGTTATACACTTTTCGTTTTCTTTCCCTTAAAATAAGTTCTTGATATAAAGATACCCAATAAAAATGTATAAAAATGAAAAAATAAGAGGATGTACTTTATGAAGAAAAGTTGTACACTTTTCGGTTTTTTTCCCTTAAAATAAGCTCTTGATATAAAGATACCCAATAAAAATGTATAAAAATGAAAAAAATAAGAGGATGTGCTTATGTGCTTATGTTCCATTGTCTGATTTTGGATCTGCAATGGCTTAGTATCTATTATGCATTCTGCTGTGAATCAACAATAGTCATGAAAGCTGTAGTCAGCTTGTGCATGGAAAATCTTTCTTTAGGCTTTAAAATTTGTCATTGTTCTATTAAAAACAAAAACGACTGATTGGTAAATAAGAGGTTTCTTTCCCAAAACGTTCATGGATATATGCTATTGCATTGATTATGATATGGACACTGCCAAGTGTGTACAATAATAATTTAATATGGACCATCGATGAGCAAAATAACACAAACATCAGAGTAATACACACACTATGGGAAGTTATCCGCATAAATATTTTCAACACACAAGATGCATGTCCCAGCCTACGAGGTAGGTCAGACATGTAATAACAACGTCATGAATATGGAATTTTTGTATTTTCATCACATAACAATAATTATTGTCATCCACTTCTTAAAGCGTCTCCCAAATTGTATACACCGTTTGAAAACTGTTCATTTCTCTTGTAAATCAATGCATTGTAAATAATCATAGTATCCCCTGTTGATTTTATTATTTTCGTCCTCTTTTATGAGGCTTCCAAGAGATCTAGAAATATATAATTGTGTGATGAGGTCCGTTCGAATGACTGACATTCTTTTTAGGGCATTTATAGACATTTCATGCTTTTTTAACTTGTTATTTCCTCTATTCGTCTTATAATTGATATTTATGACACGAGACAAAATGATGTAAGTGGTTCTCGTTACATCACATTTAGATTTTATTTAGTTTTGAATTCCTTAAAAATAAGATCATTTGAAACACATTTCACAATTTGAACATTTTACCCTGGTCTTGCACACCTTCCACGACCTTTAACTCGGTGGTTTTACCGTAAAATTTCAGTTCAAACAATAAATTTAAAAGCCCATGATTTATATTTATGAATACAAAGTAGATAAATATATGTATTTAATACTATTTATTTGACAAAACAGCTGTCTACGAAATTGTCGAAGCTTCAAAATATTTATAGCGGAGCTTCCGCGCAATGTGGTGGGTGCTCATGTAGAAGCACAGGTACCTGCCCCTTTATGATCCAGTTTTCGGATTCAATGGAAGAATGTGCTGTAACAGTTGTGTCGCGCGGTGCAGGCAAAATTTATTCCAGACATAATCCGGGATTTGTTAAACATATCACACCTCATGCCATATATAAAACCGTTAGTTTTTTGTACTGATTGTAATACATTAACATTTCTGCAAATACTCTAAATCCCTTTTTATTCTCAAGAACTTTATTTTGGCGTAATAACGCAGAGCGTCTACTAGCGAAAATTTTATCCTGGCAGATATCTATTTTCAAGTAAGGTAATTTACAACAATAACAAGAATGCGTGAAAATTTGGTCTCGCTTATAAATACCAAATAGCTTCCTTACGAAAATAAGGTAGAACGAAAATTAAGTGATCTACAATATCTTATATGATCATTGATTTTTTTTTTTTAGTGGAATCTTTTTTCTTTTGGTGAGGACGTTGTCCATGGTAATCTGACTAAAACTGTAAAATAAAAATTGTTCATTAAAAAGTTTTGTTGTTTAATTATTCATGCATATATAAGATTGGTGTATATAAGTGTTTTACTTTACTTTTTTTTTGCTTCGATCAAAATTGCAAAATATTAAAAGTCACTGAATGTCACTATGCTTTTTTTAAAATTTCTACTGAATGTCACTGCGTTCGAATGTATTCGAACTACAGCGACCCTAACAAAACTGCAAACTAGTCTGTTTCTACCACAGGCACAAGTTGTGTACATAAAATATTGTAAACCCCTCCCCCCTCACACACACCTAACTACCAAAATATATCTATATTATCTCACCAATACTTGTTTTCCTGGTATATACAATGCATTTGTTATCTGCGACAATCAGTTCGTATTTTTAAAGTTTAGAATTATGCCATATACGGTGTACTTAAAGTAATATATCGTGTATGGCCAAATTCTAAACCTAAAAAAGTTCAACTCGATTGCACGGAATGACAAGAATGAACTTGACCAGGATATCACATGTTTTGAAGAAAATATTGCCTCATTATTATCGGACTATATTTTGATTGTTTGGTGGTTGTAAGGAGAAGGGGTAGGGGTTTTTGACTGTACAGTATCCAATCAGGACGAGAAACCATAGCATAGTAAATACTAATGATGTACCTTAACATCAAAATGATCGCTAGAAATATATTTCTAATGGGATCAGTTGTATAAAGTATGCACTAAATATCCCAATGAACACAAATCAGTTTATGTTTGGAATTGCTTTTAATGAAACTTGTTGCGACATCCATGTCAATCAGAATGTGCATAAGCGTCTAAAAAATCAAAACGTTGATAAAGGAAAATAAGATTTTATGAGTACATTTAACACAGATTGAACTCGAAACAAACCTTTTAACTTTTAACATAGATTAAAATCATGCTGTTTAGAAAACATACATGACGCCGACACTTGGCTGGATTTATTGTATTAATTTACATAGTAAAAAGGTATTTACTTATCCAACCAACTTTTATCCTTTCTGTATTCAAATATAATTTGAACTTAATGTAGTAACATATTTTAAAAAAAAAAACTACTAGAAATACAGATTGTCAGTATGCTACAAAGAATCGTGATGTTTAATAACACTTCTGATGTACAGAAATCGATTTCTATATTCAAATATGAAAAATTAATATATTTAGATTTCTTCTCAACTACAAGCAGTTTATTATCCATTGTTCTTTCAAATGCTGTTATGTTGTTGGTGTGTTTTGGTAAGGGATCTGTTATTAAATTAATATAAGTGTTGCTCTCTTAATAAACTCCGTTTTCCAAATTTCTGTTTTGTTGGACAATTATTATGTATAAAAAGTTATTCATGTATAAATTTTTTTTTACTACAATGTAGTCTTTTTTAAAAAAGTAATGATTACAATTGTGTATCTAGAAATGTTTCCCAACTTCCTTGAAAAAGATGCAAGATACTCACAAGGACACCTATCCTCGAGCTCTTATTTTACAATATGCATAAAGTTCTTCTCTATAACAACACACCCCTCTTGGAAAGTGTAGTGCATGAGCATACTTAACCGAATAATAAAAATCATAATAATAATGAAAAGAATAGGGCGTGGTAAATAAACCACTGTCTGAAATCAAAGACAATGAAAATATGAATAGTTCGAAATATCCCTATATAAAGTGAGAAAAAAAATTAAGTTTAAAGGTAAAAGATGGATCAGAAAAGTAAAAACTCAAATGAGATATCTTACGAATAGAAAGTTTTTGTTTTTTACGTAACTGTATTGTTGTCATGCAGACGGTCTTTTTTTTTTTAGCGAAGGAAGATAATTTGAAAAGAAACGAAGGTAGAAAATATCTCAGGAACGTATCAGACAATTTTTGGAAATCTGGAAATTAGCGTTAAAAATATTTGTTTTTCATTCTTTCACTACTTCAGTACTCTGGAAGTGAAAACTTGTAGAGGCAGTCATTATACACATCAAAAAAATGTAGTTCCGGCTAATTTGTTAAAATTGTATTGCTGCAGATATCAAACA